TTCATCAGGAATTAACCATGATAGTTTCCAGGGGGAACCACGAGGAGGACGACTTGGTTGGGTATATTGCTAACAATGGGAATCTCAGTCTCCATTACTGATAATCCCATTCCCCCCTATACCATGTACTAATTTATGGAGCACTTTATATATTCTTGATTGCACTAAAACATACGTCTGTCAACACACATCTGTCGGTCTGTGCATAGGGCATGTTTTACAAGAATTTTATATGGGAAATCTTTATAAGAGCAATAAAAGCCAAATCAACAAGTTTAAGAAATTCTTTGTCTGTCTGTATGTTTGTAATGTATGTATGTATGTATGTGATGTAAAAATTACGACACCAAATTAGATGCAGTTTTCACAGTATTTAGTTATATTCCTCAAGGTCTGACTTAAAAATTTATATTTGATCTTGGGTCTATTTTATTGACTTTCTTACTTCTGGAATCAAGTAATAAGGAAATAATATGGAAGTAAATAATAATCAAAGCAAATCGATCACGTGTAAATGTATACGTGTCTCTCTAATGTACCGCATAATGTGCATATCCAAGGTAAGGGCGATCGTCTAGAGGACTATTGTCTGCACATAATTATATTATTATCAAGGAGCTACGCATCGCACAACATCTTATGAATCTCAATTAGATCTAGGAACAGTAAACAACAACATATTTTTATTAACGAAGTCTTTTGAAAAAATTAAAAGAGTAATATATTAATTTTTTGAAAAAAACTTCAAGAAATAGCAGATTCTTATCTGTATTTTTGTGTGTATGTATTCGTCAATTCTGAATTGAATTCTACGTTATTTTTTTTAAATCAGAAGAAATCTTTGGTTAAAAGTCTGGCAGGATAAAAAAAAACAAATACATAGTGCGAACATATTTGAATTTAGAACTTCAAATCGTGTGTCAAACTAAAAAAAAACAAAATAGCAACTTTAATCGTCACAAAATTAATATGGAAACAACACGCGACTAAATCCTTTTAATTGGAGAAAGAATCAACAAAATCAGTACAGAATTAGTGTCATAGTTGCGTAAAATAAATACAAAAAATAGACGAATTGAGAATCTACCACCTCTGTAAATCATTACATTAAGGCCACCTTCCTATCACAGGTATCTCCTAATATACATTAGCCTTCAAACGCAGTTAATGCAATATTGTCGTACAAACATACCTTATCTGATATCAATGGGCTTAGTCATGGCATATCTGGACGTACTACACAATGGTACATGTGACTAAGTTTATGAGTAATTAGGGTTATTAGTAATACAGTATGCGGGACTTTATGGGGAGTTCTTGGTCTTCCAAATGGTTACATTCTGCGATAATAGGATTAATCTATAAACGATGCATATATTAAAACAAGCATTTTGCGACTGATCTACACGTGATATAATTTTTAAGATTTTTTTACATTAAAGCTCGATGCATATTTTCAAATTATTAATCAAGTTCTTGTTTTAATTTGCAATTGTATATAAATAGATGAATGTACTTAAAATAACATGTTCCTATTAAAAAAAAAAAGGATTAAAAATTTTAGTAAAATTAGAACGTCTCCCGTTAATGGTTTAATAATACTACTGTTAATTAAACTCTACAAGTAAACTGACGTTAATTTAATTAAAATTTTGTCTCTATAATATTTTCAACTTAACTTTCCGCTGATAGAAATAACTGTTAAAAAACAATGTAAAAACGAAAAACGTTAGGTTTGCTACCTGCTACATTACTTCGAATATGTTAAAAAAAATATGGATGTATCAAATGTTACGTGAATAGTCGACATCTTTATTATTATATCAGACGTTAACTGTCCGAACATAAGCTTTTCCCATAGAGTTGCTACGCTTGGCAGGCGGATTGGCAATCGCAGTTAGGCTTTGGTGATGTTTTAAGAAGAACACTGCAGTCCATCTCTCGACCATTGAGTTCTCTTAGTCGCCTCCTACGACACCCGCCGGAAAAGAAGGAAATAAAAATACGAATATAGTCCGTTGACTTGAAGTTTGATATGACTTTATTTCCTAAATAAGGTCGTATCACGTGTTACGTGAATAGTCGACAAATACCTCTCTATAACTACCTCATTTGAGCACATTTTTTTCTATTTTTTTTTTATAGTACAAAATAAAATGCTGCTAACTATCAACAAGGCGCGGCCGTGCCAAGATAGCGAATGAGGTCATAAGGGCTGATTACACTGTATCCACATAATTACGAATGAATCATAGTCTCACTGCGCTATTTGGACCTATCTTGTCTGTATTAATATGAAAGTTAGCATATTTGTTTGTTTAGATATTTAAAAGAGCAAATGGATTTATATAGTCCTAACTTTTTAATCGCTTCTTCTTACTTAGTATGCATGGTTTTAGAAGTAGGAAAAACAATGAAGTAAATCACTCCAAAATGGCGTGTAACATACACCAAATTTGAAAGTAGACATCAAAAACACAATATCTGACCGCCCCAAATTTTGGTGCTGCAGTTTTTGCGTGATGCGGGAACATATAGACAAATAAAAAACAATTTATATCTGTATTTTTTCAACCCTTCATATTACTTTAATAAGATTTGCTAAACAGATAGACCGTATCCAGAATTAACATTTTTGACACGTTTAAAATATTTATTATGCAAATTCACGCAGGAAAAGCCAAGAGATATTAACTAGTAGTATTTTATAAATATAAAATCGTAATACCATCTGATCGTTAATCTTGATATCTCCGAAAATATTTCACAAATTTCTATGCTGAAACTCTCTGCTCAAATACGTCACTTGATATGGAAAGGACCAAAAAAGAGATATTTTAATATCACAAGAAATAGTGAGTCCAATGAAAATTATGCTACGGGAAACAATTGTAGCGTCTGTAAATAAATATTGTACATATTCATATCATAGCCACTTATCAACATCATTACTTTCTTTTCCATCAAATAGGTTAATTAAATTGTACATAGATATTTCACCTCTTTCTATCTTTCGGACTGGTCGTACAGACATGACAGCGACGTTTACTTTTTACATTAAATTCTGCTGTCATTCTCTCCATCTCGATCGCTTGCCTCTTACATTCGTAAATTCCGTTTTTATATATTATTTTCTACATATTCCTTTGTATTTACCTTTAATATTTACCTTCTGTATATAATATATGTAAATAGACAAAGCTAGTTGTTGAACTTATTTCCTCCAAACAACTACACAATCAACGTCTGTTTACTAGCTTCTACCCGCAACTACGTCCGCATGACCGGGATATACGTACTGACCGAGAAAAAAGTAGCCTATATTCTTCTCCTTCTCATGCAATATGTCTATACCAAACCTCATAGAATTACTTGGTTGAGGTTTGGTAACCAATTGGTTAAGCCATTAAGACACTATAGGGTAAAATAAACTCACTTTCACATTTATGATATTAAATAAAAATAATATTACAGAAACTATTCTATTGCTTTCGAGTCAAATCGATTTAAAAGTAGGTACTCGTAGGTACCACATTTAATTTAATCATGTGTAAATTTTTTCAACATTAATTTCATATAGGAATTCATGTTAAAAGAAGAAATTCCAATTAGTAAGTATTTTTATGTGATCGTTTACCATAGTTTGTCTACAATTCGCGAAAAACAATATCGATCGACTGTTATCTCTGTTACACCACATAGATAGGTGTATTTAGTATTACTGCGTTCAATTTATACTCCGCATTATGTTTGCTATGTATTATATTTATTTTATTATATTATTAATCCACTTGAACAATGACTCATACGCAATTATTCACGGACTATTTGCCTATTATTATTACCTGTGTTATTCATCTGAAATTTTTACTGTAAACATCTGTAAATATAAATGTAAGTAAATATTTTTCTCGTAGTAAGGATGTAACATAAAAGATGTATCAAGTAAGGATGTAATATAAAAACTTACTAATTTAGATAGATAGATAGAGTATCTTCATTAAAATGCTTCTAGAAAAACTGGTCAACTTTTACATACAATTTTGCGTGATAAAACTTTATAACTTCTATATTTATTTTTTCTTATAATTTCTGCATCTTTTTACTGCGTAAATACTCATTTTAATTAATAAATAATACGTCAAGATACACTGTATGTGTAAGTATATAGAACACTGATAAAAAAAATGAGAGGTAACTTGAAAATTAACCGACAAAAAGTTGATCCGTTTTTGAGGCTCAATGCTCTATCTATATAATCTAAGCTTACTAGTTAAAGTGATTTAGAGAGAATAGTATTATACAGTAGTATTATATTATTACAGTATGCTAGTTCATGTATGCATTCTTATACAAATGTATATCTGTATCTCACAGTCATTTCCTATTGGGATAGGCAAAAACAATAGTAAATATACTATATTTTATACAGTCAATCTATGTATTGTGTGTTTGTGTAGATATCTGATGTTCCATTTAGTTTAAATAACCAGTAAACAACAGAAAAACGAAGTTTTCGAGTAGCAACTCCATTTAGACACACGTGGAGTAACCTATCGCTGGTGGAAGTCTGCAGTTGAATCTCAAATATGGCTCGGGATTGTTTCTTGTGGTAATTTATGGGGAACGTCTATGTTGAGTCATGGACAATGTGACCACAATATTAAATAATATTTTACAACACTTTTATGTGCATGGTCCTTCGAGCCGGATCATCGTTGTACCTTAAACGTATTGTTGTTGTAACTTAAACGTATTTTAAAAAATATTATTCTATTCTGTTAGTATGTTAGTAACCCGGATTATGTTGTACTTATTATATTTAAGTTAATAAAATATTGTAATTTAATTAATGACAGCCACCATATTCATCTGCGACTGAGGTACCATCAACTGTATGAATGAATTTGGAATAATTTTCAATTGCATCAGAGATTCGCAACACTTTCGGTATAATCGATTCACCATACTTCCATTACAAAAACCATGTCCCTACTTACAATTTTGAACGATTTCACGACTATCGTGCCGATTGTCTGGATCGAAACCATTTTCACTAACTTTTTTTTTTGCACTTTTCACTCTTTTATCTTTATGCCACTTGGACGCCTTTGTCTTGTGTCTGTTTTTGTTCACGGATAACTTGTCACTAATACTAAGTTTATCGCGGTGTGGTATCAATGATAAGCTGTTATCTTATCTGCTTCGAAGAATTACTAGGGCACTTTGCAATGTATCTGTTCGGTACATAAAAATAATTAACAAATTCCGTTGTACAGGTTATTTTCTGTTTTGGCTACTATGATAATATTAAGTAGTTCACTTGATAACAAATTTTAACTGCATTACTCAACTTGTACCATGAACTAAAAGTGGCATGTCCCCTCAAGTAAAGAAGTATGAATTAAAAATACATCAAGTACTGCATTCCTTCTGTGTAGACTACGCTATGAATATACTTATTATATGTATTGTACTTAATGGGAGTAAGGCTATATATATATATATATGACAAAACAATATATATATGACAAATGACAGTTCATAGACCAACATAACTATAGACAAAACCATAGAAAATTTATTACTGAAACCTAATTTACGAAGATTCAATAGATTCTGCAAAACACATGGAAAGTATAGTACAAATGAGGGAATGCAGTCAATCACATCTATTGTGGCTATATTATGGTATCTATTAATTTATTTGAATTGGATACCATAACCATATTTCCTGGAGCCCTTTTTTGGGGCCGCACAAACCGTCGAAAGTAGGACAGTGGGGCACACTTGCGCGCTAAATACCACCACAGCAGCGCCACGCCGGGCACGCCGGTGTGCACAATTGGTTACAGTTAATAAAATATCGTTTGCTTTCTCTACTTTCTGCTCAACTTTGTGTTAGACAATCATCATTTTGTTAGCTGCTTTATATTAATATGTATTTACTAGCTGTTTCCCGCGGCGCTGTCCGCGTGATTCTTTATACAAATAATCCTATGAGTTAAAATATGTTATATAACCTATTCAGCCAATTCTTACTGATCGGTTATTTTATAGTATTTTTTCTTTAGATTGATATAACTTTTTTTATTTGTAAACCGATTGAACTTAAACAAACACTGACTGTTAAGTGGAGCAAACCGCAACGCATTAGTGAAAACCGCATTCAAATCGGTTAAGCTGTTTCTGAGATTGACGTGCACAAACATACAGACAAACAAAGAAGTTTTTTTTTAAATCATTGTTTTGGGTTCTATTGCAATTATAACCGATTAATTAAATTGGCTGAAACTTTATGAAGGTATTAGGTACGTAATTATGATTTAGGTATATAATACAATTAAATAAATTAAAAAAAATACAAAATAAAATGAAGTATATAAGACCGGATTCTAGAAGGGTTCCAATAGAAATGATGTACGGGAACTACATAGTTAGAAGCGGGCAACGCCGCGGGAAATAGCTAGTAAACAATAAAAATACAGAGGATATATGTATGTAGACATAGATCACTAAAATCAATCACTAAACAATACCTAATCGTGTTAGACACGACTTTGGTTTACGAGTTGTGAAAACGACTCGAGCGCGCCTTTTCTCTGTTTACTAGGTAAATATAAATAAGTACCTAACCACATACCTGCAGGTATCGCAATAGCCCTGCATCTTTGTTTTTACGAGGATATTTAGTAACGTTTTGGAAAGTTTCAATTTGTTTCGGCTTTGGTCAAAAATGCCCTTGAATTGTATTAACAATGGATTACCGAATTTAACTCTATTGACAAATTTGTATTTCGATTGGTTCCAATGAAATTTTCAAGTCGGTGTAAATGTTGAGTTTGTGAAGGATTTATAATATTACTAGTGACCCACCCCGACTTCGCACGATTGCAGATGCAAAGATAGTAAAGACTATGTACTCGCTAAGAATGTAGCTTTGTATACGTTAAAGAATTTTAAAATGAATGTTAAAGTTCATTATGTAGTTTTTAAGTTTATCCATTTAAAAAAAAACAAATCTTCCCTGTTTATAAAATTATTATACGAGTAGATTAACAGACTTTCTGCCGACCCCACAAGTGGCCTAAAATAAAACTTTTACCTATTATTATTATTATTATTAAATTCAGAAGCAGTGAAAGAATGAAAGATTTAGTACGAGGTCATATAATGAATCTGTCCCATGTAGTTATTCGACACCTCGGTCTTTCTCTTCCTCTTTTGCCCTCTATTTTTCCTTCTACTATGCTCTTAAAAAAATCGTCATGTCGTATAAGGTGGCCCAGCATTTTGCCTCTTCTATTCTCTATTATAACTACATGGGACAGCTAAAGGAAACACTGGGTGTCATATCGTATAGGCAGATCAAGGATATGGCTTGGGATAGAGCTGGCTGAAAGAAGATGCATGAATTAGTTGCACCGACAAGAGGAAACTCTTAAATGAAAAGAAAAGAAGATATAATGAATACTATTTTCAGGAAATTAATTCAGAGATATTTGTATGTATATGTATATGTAGAGAGATATGTCGCGGTATAAGAATATTTTCCGTAAAACAAAATGCTAAAGACAAAAAGATTGTTAAACACGTTACTATTTATTTTCCTAAACCTACGTAGGTTTAAAATAAATGTCATGTCAATAAATGTAATTTTTACACGCACCTTATATGGTCACTTATATGGAAAAAGTAATTCCATTTCCTCTCTTATGAAATCCTTATAAATTTTAATATTTTTTAGATTTTTTATAGCATAATAATGCATTTTTCTTTTAACTTGTTATATAATTAACTTTTTTTTACGGAGCAATATAAAATGTTAATCCAGATAAACTTGAGATTAACTAGAAAATAAATTATAAATAAATTTAAGAATAACAGAAAAATAAATATACTATTGCTTAAATCATACCCAAACTTTGCTCGACTTTGTTGAGATAAACACTGCAGGCGCCGTCGGACTTCTGTACGAAATGCCCTGAAGTCCTCAGGGACTGAATTAATAAGATCACACGTCACACCGTACTTATTATCTCTTTTATGCAATTTCAGGAACTCGGACTCGATATCACGAACGAACAAATTGCCGAACTAGAGTCGGCCGTCCACGACATTGACTTCACCAAGGCGGCGGAACACGAGAAACGCGTCAGGCACGATGTGATGGCTCATGTCCACACCTTGGCAGAACGATGCTCGCTTGCAGCCCCCATCATCCACCTTGGTGCGACTTCGTGTTATGTAGGCGATAATACAGACCTTATCGTGATAAAACATGGGCTGGAACTGCTGCTGCCAAGAGTTGCCGCTGTGATAAAACAGCTGGCAAAGTTTGCTGAAGAGTACAAGTAAGTTGTATTAAAAATCAATTATATTTTGTCATTAATGTATTATATATTTTATGTATATATATTTTTTTATACCACGGAGGTTGCACATAAGGTTAGTAAGCGGTTACCGTAGCCTATAAACGCTTGCAATACCAGGGGCATTACGCGTGCGTTGCCAACCCTGAAGAAACCTCTTTATCTATTTTTTGAAGAACCCCATGCTGTGGTCTCTTGGAAAAACAGTGACAGACAAATTATATATATATTTATACAATAGAAAGATAGATTTTGCTTTATCTTGAGATCCTTAGCAAATTATACTTTATAGTATGACTTCGTCTGTCCGTCCATTTGTTTGTCCTTTTATCACAGTTTTTCAACTATTTATGTATCTAAAATTTTAAATAGTTTTAAACATTACTTACTCAAATTTTTTGTAAGTGGAAAATCTTTTAATGTAATAACTACAGGTAATGAATGTAATTTGGTCGAGAAATTTATCACTAAGGGCCCCGAATGATCCCGAAACTAGTCGAGCTTTTTCCCCATATTACACGTAAGTTAAACCAGTAGTTATTACATTAAAATATAATGTGTACTTACGAAACTTTTGACACTGAAAATCTTTGTAAAACTTAAAAAACTTTTTAAACTATTAAACTATATATAATCAAGACCTTCATTCATTCACATTTTAAAACAGTTTCTCTCTGAAAGTGAGGAAAAAAAACATAAATACAGTTGATGAACGTAAAAAGTTTGAACGTGACAAATTAATACAATAGACATTTGTTTATATTTTCAGATCACTCCCAATTTTGGGTTTTACACATTTTCAACCAGCACAATTGACGACTGTTGGTAAGAGAGCGTGTCTATGGCTGAGTGACCTTCTCATGGACGAACGTGCACTGTCACGAGCAAAAGACGACCTCAGATTTCGTGGGGTCAAAGGTACCACTGGGACTCAAGCTTCCTTTTTACAACTTTTTAAAGGAGATACGTCTAAAGTCCGAGCACTCGATGAAAGGGTAGCACAGTTAGCGGGTTTCGATAAACGTTACCTTGTGACTGGCCAAACTTATTCTAGAAAAGTCGATTTGGAAGTAATTTCTGCGTTATCTGGCCTAGGCGCAACGGTACATAAGATGTGTTCAGATATTCGCTTACTCGCTTCTCGTAAAGAACTAGAGGAGCCATTTGAGGCTACGCAAATTGGATCTAGTGCTATGCCCTATAAGAGAAACCCTATGAGGTCTGAACGCTGTTGCGCGTTAGCTCGCCACTTGATAACTTTACATGCCAACGCCGCTAACACGCATGCAGTACAATGGCTCGAACGAACCCTGGACGATTCTGCAAACCGTCGCATAACTCTTGCCGAAGCTTTCTTGACAGCTGATGCGACTCTTCTTACATTGTTAAATATTTGCCAAGGATTGGTAGTGTACCCGAAAGTTATTGGTCGGCATATAGCTCAAGAGTTGCCATTCATGGCCACTGAAAATATAATTATGGCTATGGTACAAAATGGGGGAGATCGTCAAGTGTGCCATGAAAAAATAAGAGTTCTTTCTCATGAGGCAGGAGCACAAGTAAAGCAGCAAGGGAAAGATAACGACTTAATTGATCGCGTAAAGAACGATCCATACTTTGCACCTATTCTTTCACAACTCGATAGCATACTGGATGCTTCAACGTTTATAGGAAGAGCTCCCGATCAGGTATCTGAATTTATCGAGGAAGAAGTCAATCCTATAATTGTGAAATATGCTGATATTTTGTCCAAAGTGGAAAAGCCTGTAACCCTGAATATTTAATTTTATTGTTGTACTAAAATAAGTTTTATTGTTGCGAATGATTATGATTCTTATTAATGTTTTTATTATTATAAGGAATAAAATTAAAATAAAGTTTGTTTAAAAATTATATATTTACAAGTTCAGCGTATTATTTCTTAATTTAATACAATCAATACTATACAAAGTATCACTATAATACAATATGTCACATTTTACATGATCTAGACAATGGTAACTGATGTTCAATCAATAAAACCGAAATTCAATTCTTAGCAAGCATCAAGCTAAATAAGAACATGTAATAATAAATTAAACTAAAATTACATCAACAAATAATCAAATAAATAAGCTTATAATAATTCAAAGAGAGACAATTTATAATTAAATTCATTATTATCTTAATATAGGTCAAGAAAAAATACTGTGACATTTTATATCACAATTTAGATGGCACCAGCGCTAAATAATGTTTTATATCCCATTAAAGAGTATTGGTAAGCAGCGTATCTCCTTGGCAAGCCGGTCCCTGGCTCGGCCAATTGCATGCGCCCATATTAGGATCAAACGTCAACTGAACAGGACAGTTAAATACATGAAGTGTGAATCGCTGCTTATTACAATCCCATCTGCACGCATAGAATTTGTTACATTGTTTCGGATGCCTGAACAAACCTGCTCTTTGGCAGTCTACTGTTCCTTGTAATGTCTCATCTCTGCTTCTCCATCCGCCTGGCCCATAGCGATCAAAAGATTGTGAATTAATAATACTGTCTGCGGATTCTGCTTGTTTTACCTGCGCATCAGATGATGCTTCTTGGTTTAATAAGACAGTTTTGTAAGTTGGAGCAATGGTCACAGCCTTTACTCTGGGATTTAGTCTCACTGTCTTTTCTGTTGATGAAATAACAACAGGAGTATTAGAAACAAAGTTTTCGGAGTATACTTCATTTGTTTTAGGAGTCACTACGGCAGCGTAATTGCTGGGTTCCTGGTATTCCTGATAATAGGAATCATCAGGTACAATAATAGGGTTGATGGTTGAAGAAATAATTGGAGAAATAGTAGCAGAATTAACTGATACTTGTAAATTGCCTGATCGTTGACCATATTGATTATCATTGATATCTCCGCGATCAGAATCGTCATAATCATTATTATAATCGATTGTTTCTGGTTGTGTTTGTACATTTGGCCTCTTTCCTTTCAAAATCAGCACAGGCGATTGGCAACTACATACAGCTCCTAATTTACGTACAAGCAATGGATTAAAATCGTTTATTTTAGTGACGACAGCTACCTTTGGTTTTGTCTTTCGAATTGGAGCCGTTGATGTTACTTCAACTAATTCTTGATTGAATGGTGCACGTGTGGACGTAACTATTTTTGGTTGTAATAAATAAGATTCAGTACTGGATATAATTGGTTGTGCTGTAGTGTATGTCACAGGAGATACAATACCAGCATCAGGTTCTACAGTACCGAAACCGAATTTTGACTTTGCAGTTTCTACTACTATATTCTGTTGTCTTTGTACTGGAACTTTTTGATACCGAACTTTATCTGACGTTACCTCAACAGGTGGTAAATATTCCGGTGCTTTATATTGAGTTGTTGACTCAGAGTACGTGTAAGGAGTATTTGTAGAAGATACAACAACAGGTGCAGCTGTTGTATAAGTCACTGAAGATACTAAACCAGCATCAGGACCGACTGTGCCAAAACCGAGCAAGTTAGATTTTGCTGTTTCTACTACTAAATTCTGTTTCCTTGGAGGTATGGCAGTGGATACAGTGTATTCCTTGTAAGGATTGTTACTGATAATTTCTCCTGTATTTTGTTCATTAAAACCAAAGCTTTCAAAATTAACTACGTTAGATCCACTCTCCTCCGATGGCGGTAAGTATTCAGGAGCCGAATATTCTGTAGTTGATTGGGTATATTTGTAAGTTGGTCGTTGTGTAGTAGATTTAACAGTAGGTCTGGCTATTCTTGAGGGCAAATAGGTATTTTCCACTTTCGGAGGTAAGTATTCACGATTATTGTTTTCAACGTTTTCATCAGATGGCGGCAAATATTCGCGTGTTGTAGAAGCTGTGCTAAAAGTACTAGGTTTATATGTCGATGTTACTATAGGCGTTGAAACAACTGGAGGCAAATATTCTTCAGCTTTGTAACCCACTTGAATTTCAGGAGATTCGTTAGGAACTTGTTTGTATTTAGTGGTAATTGTAGTACCAGGGAACGTTGAAAGGTGAATAGATTCTTTTCTCGGTTGCGAAATATGAGATGTACTGTAAGATATCTGTTGAACTGGTAATTTTTGTATCGCTGGTTGTTGTTCTATGGGTATTGAAGCAGTTGATGATATACTATAGGATTGTTGATACTCTGCTTTTGGCGGTATATACTCTGGCGTTTTGTATACTTGTGCGACCTTTGGAGATTCATATTCAGAATAATGCTCCTCGTATGCTAATGTTGATGGAGTCGATGACACAAATACTATATTTTTTCCTGACTGGTATTGATTATTAGATTGATGGAAGACTTGGTGAGATACCAGATTAGAGTCTGAATATGATTTTTGTGTATTCAAAGTTTCAGTGTTACGTTGTATTTCTGGTTGACTGTATGAATATCCTTCTTGATTCAATTGGATGTTTTGTGAAACATCATATTTCACAGGCTGGCTGACATGACTCACCTCATGTTGATAGATAATTGGCTGGTATGTTTGGGTATAAATAGAAGCAGTTGGTTTTACATATGTAACAGGAGTGACTTTCTCTGTATATTTTAAGATTGGGTTTTCATAAACCGAGACGGAAGGTTGTTGATAAGTTAGTTCTATTTTAGGTGTAGATGAAACTGGAATATATTTCTGGCTTTCAACTTTATGAATAGTTTGTTGACTATAAGACTGTGGCTTGTAGGTGGAAATTACTGCAGGCGCTGGTGTAGAATGCTCGTGTATAATGTTCGGTCCATCTTCAAATTTAATTGAAGGTGCTTCGTATTTGTAACTAGAAGATACATCGTAAGTATTTATTTTGCTTGCTTCAACATTATGCAAAGTTTGATGACTGTAAACTTGAGGCTGGTAAGTAGATACAACTTGTTGATTAGCAAGTGCTGGCTGAGCAGTGGTATATGTTACCGTTTTTGGTTCTCCGTAATTTACACTTGATTTATAATCAACTTCAACCGAAGGAGTGTAATATTTGCTATCCTCTAATTTATGAATCGTCTGATGACTATAAGCCTGAGTTTTATATGTAGGGTTTACACTAACTTCTGGAATTACTTTTTCTGTGTATTTTAAAATTGGATTCTCATAAACTGAAACAGGTTGCTGTTGATACGTAAATTCAACCTTAGGTACATACTTTTGGGTTTCAATGTTATGAATGGTCTGATGGTTATATGATTGCGGTTTGTATGTCGATATTATTGGTGTAGGAGTAGAGTATTTAAACGTGTTTATTCCATCTTCGAACTTAATTGCTGGTTTCTGATATTCGTAACCATGCTCTAAATTATCTTTAGAATAAGCGTTCACTTGACTGGCATCTACTTTGTGTATCGTTTGATGACTGATTACCTGGGGTTGGTAAGTAGATATCACAGCTGGTTGTGGTGTAGTTGATGGAACTGGTACATACTGTACTTGTGGAGATTTTATTGTTGATACTACTGGAGTTGGTGTAGAATACTCGTATGTTTTCACAGCATCATCAAATTTAACAGCTGGCTCTTGGTATTCATACCCTAATTCCGATTCTTTATGAGAATACGTCTTCACTTGACTAGTGTCCACTTTATGTAAAGTTTGATGACTGTACACTTGTGGTTGTTGATAAGTAGATACAACTGGTTGCACAGTTGTGAATTGGCTGGGTTTTGATGTTTCGTATGTGATTTCAGATTTCGAAAAGTCATATCCTAATTCAGCTGCCGGTGTATATGCGTTTGATTCAACTTTATGGATAGTTTGATGGCTGTAAGACTGTGGTATGTTACTATCGGATGATTGCGAATAAGTGGTTGATGGACCAGTTGTATAAGCTACCAGTTTCTTAAATGGTTCTTCAGTAACGGGCGTCGGAGATGAATATTCAAATCCAACAGATTCTACTTTATGAAGAGTTTGTTGACCATGACTAAAACCTTGTGGTTTATATGTCGACACAGATACGACGGGCGCTGCAGTTGTATAAGATATACCATCTTCAAATTTAATACTCGGTTTAGAATAATCGTATCCAGATGTTACAGACTTGCCGGTTGACAACTGACTTACAGAACTAGCACCATCGTACTGACTAGAACTGTAGCCATTTTGTTCGTATTGGTAATTCAAGCCTTGGTTGTAATCCGTAATTTCTACTTTAGGAGTAACATACTGTTTTTCAGCAACCACAGTTGGTTGTACGTAGGTGACAGCTGGTTGAGAAATCCCGAACAATTGTTTTACAGTAGCCTTGGGCGCTTCTGGGACGTATGTTGTCCTATAGGTCGTTACTGGTATAGAGGTTGTAACAGCTAATGGAGTAGCAGTTGTAGGAATACCAGAAGATGTAGGTGTTGTCACGTAACTATATCCATCTAGATTATGACTGTCAGTTCCATCATGGTTAATGGAAACTGCTGGCTGAGAGATATAGGATACATGTCCAGGATATGTTTCATGTACCACCTCGTGTCCCGATGTAACAGTTTTAGAAGCAGCATTGGCTCCACTTTGATAATTGAATTGATCTGTGTAACCATTATCAACCAATGTAGTTTTTCCAACCAAACCAACATTCACCGCACCGGCGGTTAAAGTATGGGAAACGCCGGTATAAGCTTTTGAGTTACTTAAGTAATTTCCTGTATTTGAGTTACTGTAAGTTCCATGATATTGATTTGTGTTAACGCCATTTGTGCTTTTACCCTCTACGCTTAATGAAGCATCACTACTGTAACCCCCAATGTGTCCGTCAGCTCTATATACTCCTCCCTCATAGTTTCCAGAATTGCCGTTGTAAGTGTCAGAATAATCAGCGTTGTAAGAACCGGAGTAACTATTTCCTCCAGACTCTGTATGTACATAAGATCCGGAATTATCATGCACATATTGTCCATCATTATTATTTACGTATTTACCATCATTGTCACTTTGAGACGTATATTTGGCATTATCGTAATATTCTCCAGTATGTTTGTAACCAGCATCATCATGAGTATATGGTACAACAGCAGAATCAACATGTCTGTAAGGTTCAGCGTAATCACCAGAAGGATCGTGAACATAAGCGCCGGAATTGTCATCGTAATTATTATAATTGCTCTGGTAATTTCCTGAGCTGCTTGCTATGGAACTAGAATAACTATTTAAACTTTTAGTGTATCCACCATTTTGTACACTAGCTTGGACAATATTGTGGGATTTTCCATAAGTCGTTTTCGTGGTAGGTAGCCTATAATCATCTAATATTATAGAACCGCTGGTATATTTAGGTGCATTGTTATATTTGGTTGGTTGAACCAGCCCTAAGTTAGCATCACCAACCTGATATGTTAAGCCTTGCCCTTGAGGGACGCTTGCATCATTTCCAATCTCGTAAGATTGACCCGATCTAAACGCGCCATTCGTTAATTCTTGGGAAGCAATGAAGTTCGAGTCCAATGCGTCATCTTTGGTTAGGAATCCGCTTTGGATTCCGACCAAGTTATCTAGCGAAGCTCCGGAGACGAGGCTCTGGTGAGCAGCGATGTTGACTGCGTCGGCTGTCTTACCATGGTACCCTGTGGCACCTGTAATATTAATTTAAAATAGAGTGAATATTTAATTGTAGTAGCTAATAATAAATTCATGTGGGGAAGAGATTGTTAATAATGGAGGTTAGCTCCCCATTGCTATCAATATATCTAATATATATATATAGTAAATAGTATATATATATATATATATATATATATATATATATATATATATATATATATATATATATATATATATATATATATATATATATATATATATATAGTTACTAATTTATCGTTGAATTCGTCACGGACCAACTGACCTGCCATTCATCCTCCAATCATCCCCCACTAGTGCCCCGCCAATGTATACCAAAAGCGCAGGCGGGGTTTCCATTTCATTATCATTTATTAAAAAAGAAAATAATTTATTGCCAGTAGTTTCCACGCTCGGCAAACAAGTTGACAACCACAGTTAGGATTTTATGATGTTTTAAGAGCGACACTGTTCCCCATTTCCTTCAACCATTAAGTTTCCTTTGTCGCCTCTTACGACACCCACGGCAAAGGAAGGGGTGGCCCATTCTATGCCGGGGCTACACAGCATTATACGATTAAGTAGAAGTACGTGTTCACATAAAAATTGCGATTGTGTGTCAGTTGTCTAGAATGTGACGCTATATTTATATACAAAAATATCGAATTCTATATTTATTTGTAACCTTACCTGTAAGCGTGGCAGACGAGAAGCCGTATGCCTCAGCTTCATATCTGCCGATGTTTCCGCAAGCAGGCACCAGCCACGGCCAGTCGCACTTGAGTTTCTCGGCGTCGAAGCCAAGACCGAACGGACAACGGAACTCGTAAGCTGTCAGCGGCGCCTTCCCGTGGTCGAGGCAGGCGAAGAACCAGCGGCAGTTCTCAGGGTCAGCGTAATAACCTGACATAAATGATTAACATTTATTATACATCTGTTATAGTACATTCCATCATGGTTGTCAGGTAACCTGAGACCTGGTAGATAGTCTGCGCAGAGATAAAGCCTAAAGTATCTTCAGTATACTGCCTGGAGGCAACGTGTTGAAAGTTTATAAATATATACTTTCACCAGCCATCTTACCAGAGAGTGACTTTGCACATAAGTCGACTGCTTCGATACCTTTATCCCATTCGTATTTCTGCTGTAAAGCTATTGTGTTTGCATGGCTGTGTTTCGGTTTAAAACGTGGTATATGGCAACAAACTTACTCTCTCTCTCTCTCTCTCTCTCTCTCTCTCTCTCTCTCTCTCTCTCTCTCTCTCTCTCTCTCTCTCTCTCTCTCTCTCTCTCTCTCTCTCTCTCTCTCTCTCTCTCTCTCTCTCTCTCTCTCTCTCTCTCTCTCTCTCTCTCTCTCTCTCTCTCTCTTTCTCTCCCTCTGGTAAAGTCTCTTTCTCTTAAAGTGTCTTTACCTAACAACTGGTGCATGAACTTCATGCGTTGCCAGTCCTGAGGACAACTGTCCTCAGTACTGGCAACGCATGAAGGATATTGTGAGCGGCAAAGTATATTCTGTTATGCCCATGGTACCGTTTATATTCAGGCGATGTTACCACTGTCGATCAGAGTGCCGTCAGCTAGCTTCCCATTCTGAATTGTACAAAATAAAGCTGCGACATCACCCAGGTATCCGGGATATGTTGTTTAACCGGGATAGCCTGTGTCGTATTCATCCCATATGCGTAGTTAATATTACCTATTCAAATACATATGACGACCATTGCTTCACCTGTTACGATGCTAAGATGTAACAAACAAACACTCTCTCATATTAATAATATTGCTAGCTAATCCGGCAAACGTTGTTTTGCTCCTTATCTTCAAATACCATTTTTCCTTATTGGGATAATAACTATCCTGTCTCTCAAATTGGAACAAACAATGCAGACATACAAAATTTCATTAAAACTGGTTGTACAGTTTAGAAATTTAGCGTAAACCAACATCATGGCATGACACTACCTAATCCTATTAGATGGAAAGGAGGGATTGTAAGTAATGCTTTTAGGACGACCTCCACGTGGTCTCCTCTGGAAACTATCGTGTTGAATTCCAAGTGTATTCATTGCGATGGGCTAAATAACCTGCCTTTTCATTCTCACCTATCATCCCTCACTGGTGCCCCGAATGTGTATATCGTTAGTGCAGGCGGGGTTACCATTCTATTATCATCCATTAAAAAATCCATTCTATCGGATTGTACTATTAGATTGTAACACATTAATTTCATCGTATATACTCTTCATCATTAATTTTTTTTTTCTCTTTGATGTACATTTTAGGTATTTATTTACGAATTCGTACTATTTAGGATTTGCTAAATGAATTTTAGTAGGCGTCTTCATTTTACAATGAGTAAGAAAACTAAAATAACCTGTTTAAATACAAACCTTATGGTTACTTTAATTTTATTTAACCACAATGGCTTCCAGGGGCAACATGTGGACTGTGGAGGTCACCCTGATACCCTATCAGCTATACCCTATATTGCTAGCACTGGAGCAGAGCTGGGCAAAATATATGCTTGGTTTCAATCAAAATACAAATTACAAAGTACTTTACTAACTCATGCGTATTTGAAATAAGGAATAAAAAATATTTTAAAGTCATATATTTGAAATACAAAATACATTTTTTAGCTATTTTTATTTAAATTACAAAATACAATAAAATACAAAATAAAATGGAACTAATCCAGAACAGCCTATTAATCAGGAAAAGATAAATTCTCTTTCATGAACATGTTTTTTTTTTAAATGTATAGTTAGACCAACAGGCTCTTGTTGGCGAATGAATAAAACCTGCTAAAGACAACAATCTTTCTACAGGTCCTGATGAGCTCAAACTTGTGTTAAATTGTATGAACGAAAGCTATCAAACGCTATTTTCTGAAGAATATACTTATTGATAAAATCGCTAAATGTATTTACGTTAAAATGTATTTTGAAGCTATTAGAAATACGGAAACCACCAACAAATTGCCTATATCGCTTTGGAATCATAATTTTCGTTTGTATAAATAAAATCAGATATTGGCTGTATTCATAAGAGACTTAGCATGTAAGTTTTTTTTTTTTAAGAGTGGATTTTTGTATAAGTAAAATAAAATAAAAAAAAAAATGCATTTCCAAAGGGGATTTACGTCATGCGGCCGGTCGTAAAACTACAAGCCAAATCTTTTTATAATATGCATAAAAGAACATATAACGCCGACTTCAAACAATAATTGGGATAAGGGTAGAAAGATGATGAGGTGAGAAATACTATCTACAAAATACCACAGCGTCAGTATTTGAAATACGAATTACTAATTACATTTTTAGGAAATAATTCAAATACAAATACCAAATTTATATTTCAATTTTTTTTATACAACTTAGAATGGCAAACACGCTGACGGCCCACCTGATAGAAAGTGGTAACCGTCGCCTATAGACATGAGCAGTACCATGGACGTAACAGAGTATACTGTTTCGCCCATGATACCCCCCATGCGTTGCCATTCCTGAGGACTCAGGTGTTATTCCTCTGTACCCAGTAAATTCACGCCATATCTCACACTTCAAACCGAAACACAGCCATGCAAATACAACTGCTTCACGGTTGAAACACGAATGGAACAGAGGTACCCAAGCAATCGACTTTTGTACAAAGTCTCCCTCTGGTAATAACGTATTTAATTAAAATACTATCCAGTCTTGCAATGAAGCTGTAAGACCCCTATTTATTATTAACAATCCCTTTCTGCTAAACTTATAGTATTCATAGCTGTAATAAAAAGTCCGTCGTACCTTCCTTATCAGGGCAGATGAACCTGGTGCGTGGTACAGGCGCGATCTCGGCGGAGCCGGGGCAGGCGGCGGCGTGGGGCAGGCTGCCAGGCCACACGCATACCTCGTACCGGGCGTCGAATGCCAGCCCTGCTGGGCAGTCGAACTCGAACACCTGCACCAGACGGAGACTTTACATTTCTACCACCATGCAACTGTGCTCATATTGCTATGTTTCAGTTTAAGGGGTTTTTGTAATGGATCGTAATAGAATAATAACATTGCTTGTGCTATCTCTGGCGGGACACCGATGAGGGATGATGGATAAGATGATAGGGGACGATGGTTGTCAAAAAGAAGTTATATATAACTATCATTGGAGCATTTAGTTTCCCTTACTAACCGTCCTTTCCTTCTGTTTAAGAGGCAGGATATTAGTTTGTGGTACTATTCATGTCCATAAGCGACGGTGACCTTTTCCAATCATTAGGTCACTAAATAGAGAGTTACTATCAAATTAACTGGCTAAAATAAAAAAGTTTAGCTTTCTTTTAAAGGCACTATAAACGCAAATAATTGTGGCAAGATCTCGACTCACAGTTTTTCAGTGATTTCATTGGCTTGTGATACTCTAAATCGAACCTTCAATATAATAAAATAAGGCAATTCTCATTTCTTACCGTATATTCAGGCGAGAGCTGATCGAACTTGACACACCGGTAGAACCTTGCACACGAGCGCGGGTGCACGAAGTATCCTTGTCGAGAGCAGGAGAACTCAGTTCTGGTATCCTGAAATACATAAAAAGCCAATGTATTAGTTTTAGTAGATTAGACTGATGAAACATGTACATATATATACCGTTATTGTCAGAACAACGTAAATCTAAACCCACAGCCTGGCAAATTAAAATATTGTTCCCTTCATGTTTATATTTTTATAAATATCTATGAGGAAACAAGCGCGAGGATAAATAAGCGACTTATGATCTACAGAAAAATAACCCTAATTTGATTATTTCCGGTCAATAGACCAATATACAGCTTTATTGATTTTAATTATTCTTATTTATAATATCTTTTGAATCTAAAAACAGAAAATATGCCCAAGACTGTAATCTCTGATGGGATGGTCAGTGGCTTTAGTCGACTATAGCCGTTGTAGGAAATGTAACACTTAAAATACCCATATTTCGCTGAGCATATTAGAATCCAGCAGTAGTATAATACCTATTTTGTTTAATGGGTGATAATGGAATGGTAACTCCGCCTGTGCGTATACGTTGTGGTATACGCTGGTGGGGCACCAGTGAAGGATGATAGGTGACGATGAAAGCAGGCCAGTTAGCCCACCGTGACAAATTCCACTAGAATTAACTACGATGGTTTCCAGGGGAAACCGCATGGAGGTCGACCTAATAGGGTGTATTACTAACAATCCCTTTCCCACCAGTAGCATAATAGCGTAAGAGGTTTACAACAATCGCTTGCAATAATCTGTTTGTAACTTCTGAATTAGTTAAAAATATTTTTTTCATGTCATCAGGAAAAGAGTGAATGAGAATCGAACATTAATTAAAACAATAGAAAATAGAAGAGGCAAAATACTGGGCCATCTTATATGACATGACGATTTTTTAAAGAGCATAGTAGAAGGAAAAATAGAGAACAAAAAAGGAAGACCAAGGAATAACTACATGGGACAGATAAAAAAAAACACTAGGTGTAATGTCGTATAGGGAGGTCAAGGATATAGCCTGGGATGGAACTGGAAAAAGATGCATGAATTAGTTGCACCGATAAGAGGAAACTCTTAAATGAAAAGAGAGAGAGAGAGTCATCAGGAAACCTCTGCAAATGTACTTAAAAACTATTTCGACTATTACATTATTGGTGGGCTTACCTCTCTTATAGAGTGTATGACACCGTCGGAGTCGACGACCTGCGTGATCCTGTAGGGAGAGACCTGCAATGCGTCCAGCGCGCGGCCCGGCGCCGACAGGATCTCATGTTCCAACGACCTAGAGTCACATGGCAATGTTTACTTCATCTTCATCTCTACATTTCGGCTATAGAAATCTCTATGATTAAAACTAAACAATGCTATTCGACGAGTCTTTGGTTGAATTGATCTAATTGATTCCATGTTCTGGCTGTGATACTTTTAGTCCTACATAGTTTTACATAGAAGAGAATCCCAATTCGAAACGACTATCACCTAACTGTTTAATAAATAAAAAGTATTTTATATCAAAGGTAATTTATTAAGAAATATATCGCGAGTGGGTGAAAAAATCCTGTCCAAACAAAGATTAATTAAAAATCAAAATATATCTTTTTCTTAAACATTGCACTTATATATTTAATGAATAAATTTAATACCAACCGAATGTATGAAGCCTACAGAATAAGCAAAAGTTGGGTTGTTTATTTTTTCTTGGTATAACTATTTCACTTTAGTAAGTATTAAAAGAATTGATGGAATGTATTAAATTATATGACACAATTGTATTGAAAAGATACGCACCTGAGTACAGCAGCTCTGGGTGCTCTGCTCTGTTGATTGAGGACTTTAGCCAGGGAAGCCTTCAAGCTTGCCCCGCATGGAGTCTCCGCGTCGCGGTCAGCGTCGTGCAGCGCAAGCCCGGCCAGGCCGCGCACTCGCGCGTACTTCCCTTTCACGTCTACAGAAGATGAATCTTCGAACGATATCCATGTTGTGTTCCTTAAAATAGATGGACATTTTGTTATGTTATAAAATTACGATAATAATGTTTCCTTTAAATTATAAACAGGTTAAAAAAAATAAGTTCCAACAACTTGATCCGATGGGATTCTAACCCACATCTCTCTGCTATCCGAGCTGAGTGTGTTCCCAATTATGTTTTCAAACTATTAATAACTGTTTATATCCCGCAGCTTTGTCTGCGTAAATTAGTATATAAAGAGTCCTATGTGCTAAGTTTTAACTTTATTCTCTATCTGTATATATTCAAGAGGGAGACTTGTCGATTGCTTGGGTATGTGTTTGTGTTTGCAAGTTCTAGTCTTGGCAACGCATATTCTCTATCTGTATATATTCTAATATAACTAAGTTCTATAAAAAAAAAAAAAAAAAAAAAAAAAAAAAAAAAAAAAAAAAAAAAAAATCTAATATAACGTACCCGGGGGCAAAGTTTAATAGCCCCTTGCTAGCAATATACCCTCCCAGAGTGACCTCCACGCGGTTCCACCTGGAGACCATCATGGTTAATTCTTATCAAATTCATCATGTTAGGCCAACTGACCTGCATTCATTCTCACCTATCATCTTCCTCTGGAGCCTCGTCGGTGTATACTGATAACGCAGGCGGGGTTATCACTTCATTATCACCATCGTCTTATGTTAAAATTATGGTAGCCATATATTCAGATATACCTATGACCATTAACTACCATATTCACAGAAGACATCTAATGTGTTGGACTTCAGAAATAGAACCTCATTGAAGTTTTATTATGCAGCAATATGTTTTTAGTATAAAAATTATATAATATTTAAATCTATAATATATATAAAATTATATAATCTGTTAATCGACAAATAATCACCATACAAACTCCTTTTATTTCGAATATTAATCCTGAAAGTTGAGAGTTTTAATTACCTTAATATAGGTGTTCAAATGTATACTAAATGACCTTTTCTAAACTCACTTGAAAGCGTACGGCGCTGACAGATCCTGATCTCTCTCCAAGGTCCACCTTCCCTTCTGTAGTAGCCTACACACTTCAGCTTGATCTATTTCCCTGGGTTCTTCCTCCACAGTCGGGCTGCCTGGAGTACTAAGAGTCTCATTGAGCAAAGTAAACTTGCGTCCCGTTGCTGGTAAGCTGATGACAACCTTAGACGCTGGTACTCCCAGACCCACCACTAAGTCCACTACAGAATCCTGTAAATATAAGTATTTTTATTTATATTCAACTGAAAATAATGGATTTCTATTGATTTCAGTTACTTTCATATTTTCGTTATTATGGGCGAAACAGTATACTCTGTTATGTCCATGGTACTGCTCATGTCTGTAGGCGACGGTTACCACTTGCCATCAGGTGGACCGTCAGCTTATTTGCCATTCTAAGTTGTATATAAAAAAAATATAATGATTCTTATTTTGTCCGAAAAAATAAAATAAACCTTACGACGTCAGAATAATGAGAATAGACATCAACATCATAAGCCTCCCCCTTGGATGAGGGGGGTGGGTTGCCAGTAGTTTCTACGCTTGGCAGGCGGATTGGCAACCGCAGTTAGGCTTTGGATATGTTTTAAGAGGGACGCTGCTGCCTATTCTTCTTCCCTCGACTCAGATCCTTAGTCGTCTCTTAAGACTCACGGGATAAGAAGGGATGGCGTATTCTATGCCGGGACCACACAGGTATAGACATGTTCATGGGAAATTACTGTGAAATAGTTTTGTAAAAAAATTAAACTATACAAGTTGTATATTTTTCAAACGATTTCTAACCGACTCATTTTATCCCATAGAAACTTTATCAAAATCGATACAGTAGTGTAATTTTTAAATCAAAATAACTGGTTTTGCCACTATTGAAGGCTGTATTTTTTGTAGAACAAAACAATATTTCAATTAATTTTAAAATAAACATAAAATATTAAAAACAAAATATAATAAACATAAAATATTGCTTAGTGATAAGGCCGCTTTTTGTATCACTTCTCATTAATATTTACTGTATTTGTTATTTCTCTTTTTACTTGGTGCAATAAAGTGTAAATAAATAAATAAAATAAAATAAAAATACCAATTTATTTACTACTGTGGAATTCATTAGAACCATTGCTAAACTATCAAAATAGTTAATAGATGTATGGATGCACCTGGCATGTGTGGCCTAGTTCATCTATACTGTACCAACAGACATGTACCTAACGAACTTAAACTTGGGGTACAGAAAATCGTACTTTATTGACGTTATCCCAAATGTGAATATTGCACAGCAAAAATAGTGACGATTCTATTTTTTGCATTTACTTGCTCACCTTCACCATAATAAATTTTAATTACTCATCCCAGTACAGTTGTCGTGTCATATGAATTGGTTAAAAATATTTCAGTATAAATAGGTACCAAAATTTTAAAATCCCTATTTACACTATTTTTAATATTAGGCTTATTAATGAAGAATTTAATAATAATTTAAAAAAATATGACAAAATACTTCAATAGCATTAAAAATAAAGTTTAACTTTAATAAAGATTGTGTCCTTCAAAAAACTGACTTCAATTGTGACAAAACAGGTAATTTTGATTTTAAAACAAACTATTGAAACCGGTTTTGATAAAATAGCTATGGGACCAATCTGTAAGTATATCCTTTCAGATGAAAAGAAACCTTAAATTGGTTTAGAACTTAAAAAAATGACCAAATTTAGATCCTTCTTCTTTTTAATGTCCGTTGAAAATAAATTTATTATTAATAAATCTAAAAAAGTCTAACAAATTATTAGATATTTTTATGTGTTTCCTAATTCATACCTCACTGAGACTATGTCTCTGATCTCAGTAAGTCAAAAAAAAAAAACAAATTATTTACTACTGTTATCAAAATTTGCAAATTAAACTCATGGTGGTTACAATATTACTTTTTTTTTACTAAAGTATTAATTTTATAATTATAAAAAAATATACAAACGATAATTTAAAAAAAAAACTTTTAATTTTTAATTTACGATTTTAGAAACTGTACCTTAATTCAATAGAATTTAAACGATGCACATAAATCTAAACGATTCGAATGGAACGAGTGATTCCTAATCACTATAACAGTCTTGATGTTACTCATTAGGTCACATACATTGAATACATTAAGTTTATATTAGGAAAGCAGACTGCCAACTGGCGGGAGTCGACAAAAAAAACTTGTCTTTTTACTGAACTTCCAAAATAGGAGGGTAATTGTAATTCAGGTGTATGTCGGGATCTCTGGTGCAACGCTTGTATCCTACAGACTTGCTGAGTTTTAATAAATGAGTTTTCGTTATTTTCGTATCGTCACAATGGCAGTACCATAGACTATGGCAGTATATTTTTTTTTATCAGAAAAAGAAGCCTAAAGAAAGAAAGTTATATTACACGACAATGATATATAATTAATATGTATATATGTCATAAAATATCAAGAAATTGACTTTAATAATTAATCAATTAGTCTTTTTTTTATACAACTTAAATGGCAAACAAGCTGACGGCCCACCTGATGGAAAGTGGTAACCGTCGCATATAGACATGAGCAGTACCATGGACATAACAGAGTATACTGTTTCGCCCATGATACGCCCCATGTGTTGCCATTCCTGAGGATTCAGGTGTTATTCCTCTGTACCCAGTAAATTCACGCCATATCCCCCCCTTCAAACCAAAACACAGTCATGCAAACACAACTGCTTCACGGTTGAAACACGAATGGGACAGAGGTACCCAAGCAATCGACTTTTGTACAAAGTCTCTCTCTGGTCTATTTTTTTTTACTTAATAAAATTTATAAGGTCGATTTCTGTAATGTTTAATAATAATAGTAATTCTGTTGTTTACACCTACTAGTGTCGGTCATCACTTTTCACCAGGTAGTCAGTCATCAGTATACTTACGTACTAATTCTTGTAACTAGTGTAAAAAACTCAGGTCTGTAAGTATATCTAATTTTTTACAATCAATTCATAATCGATGTTGAGTCAGTTGTCTGTCTTAATTAGAATCAACACCGGTCTTATCTCTGATAATAATGAACTGTCTGTCCGTATCTGTTACAATCGACGTTATATAATATCTTGATTTGGTTTCTCAATTACTTCACAAATAACAAACACTTATTATCGAATTTACGATCTTTTCGAACAATATATGTATCCAAACGATAAGTTGTTAGTTAGGGACTTTACAAATAAGCAGAAATTACTTATTTTTTAATAACTCTTATTGAACTATTTATCATACAATAAATCACATATTGTAATAATATTGTCTAATATTTTTATATATTTATTTTAATGGCAACACTGTAAATGACAATTTTTCTATAATTAAATTATTAATAATTAAATAATAATTTAACTGCCATATTCCCTTTAAACTAAAACGCAACCATACAAGCAGTGTTGCTTATATTAGGGCCACAAATGGGGCAGAGGTACTGAAGCAGTTAATTTATGTACACAGTATCTCTTTGCTAAATATTGCAAAAAGAATTATTAAAATCGAATCAGCCTAATGAGAAAATCGCACAACAAAGCTACAAAAAAAAAGACGAAAATCTTTTTCGTTTAGGGATTATTTAAAAAGGTTTAAATTCTAAAGGACATTTGAAATTCTCTCTTACACTTACCGTGTTCATCATATCCCACATTCCACTCAGCCTACTCGGATGATATGTCATCTTCTTCACCAACCCCAAAGCATGAGTTTGAACCATCACCAAGTCCACTTTCTTCACCAAAACTCTAAGATCGTAATACTTCGCCAAGAGTTCAGGATGAGCTGGTAATGCCAAAAACAGTGGGCCCCCACCAGACGAACTGATGGTAGACCTGGCCGCTTCCACCGCCTCCAGGACTTTGGTCTTGTTGAGGAAACGGTGCGCATCGTATATCTCAAGACCTTGAACATGTTTGGACTTGAGGAGCTTACGGAGATCCTGTAAAAGATAAAAATTGAAATGAGAATATGCTGTATAATTATTTTTTATGCAACTTACAATGGAAAACAAGCTGACGGCCCACCTGATGGAAAGTGGTAACCGTCGCCTATAGACATTGACATTTATTTATTAAGAACAAAACACAAAAATGAACCTACAAATGTCTTTCTATCATTGAGTAATTGATATACATACCTACCATACATCCAAATAATAAATTTTGAAAAGTCTTGTCTCTTTACGCATTATACATATCAATAATACAGACTAGTTTTCAAAACGACGCACTTTTTATGCTTTCAGACTCTATTAGGAGGATTAACCTTTGAACACTTAATAAAAAAAAACGATGCGTCAATTTTTAAATTGGTTGATCTTTTTTGGATGTTTTTGACACTTGTGGCTTCATCTAGATGTGTATTATCTACGTAGAATATAAGGAGTAACCTCTTACTTTTTGAAGTTAAAGTACTTTAATTAAAATTATATTCAAATTATCACATATCAAAGCATTTAATTAATTAATTGACTTTTAATTTGTACTAATTAATGTAAGATATCAGCAAACTGTCCATGCTCTTATTATTCATTTGTTTACGTTTTCAATAAGTTTCGTTGAATCGAACTAGTAAATGTCGACCTACAGTGAGTGTGAGTTTATCAGAACTTTTTTCAAAACAACAATTTACTAAGTGACCTATTTTAACTGAATTCACTAGCTGTTGACATTGAAAACGTCCATGCAAGCGACGCCGCGGTTCGCCACTACTGTCGTGTGAATAAATCCTTCGACGGTGAAATCTTGCGTAACAAGGGTGCGCCTGACGGCTGTACAGGCGCGTTCTAAATATCAAGTTGTTTTAGTTCCCGCTATATCAATTTCTTAAGGTGTCAAATATTATATATGCCCGGTGCAACACTTGAAATAAAAATAACATTTGGCGCCATTTTTAACAGTTTCTTTTAATTTTTGTAGTTGTAAATGAATAGTTGTATATTCCTTTTGTCGAGGCCCTAATTTACTGGTATGTTACAATATAATAATCTTATATCTGATTTATCTTTAGAAGTCAGAAATAAGAAGATAACTATTTACTATACGATCACTTTAATATATATATATATATATATACATAATATGTATCTGTTAATTTTTTTCCTAGTATTTCAATAACAGCATTAACTTTAGACTCTAACTTTAGTTTACTATTGTAATCTTTTGGAGGAAACAATAAAGAGTATCTATCTATCTATCTAATCTCTTAAAATGTCAGGTTGGCATCCAAGAAGGCGTTTCAAATAAGTGCTATTTCATTCCCATGTGCTGAGAATGAAACTTCAAGTAAATTAATTTAATGAAGAAAAAAATATCATCTTGACTCCATTAGCCATTCTGCAGGAAAAGAGATTCAAGACTCTCATGAATAAAGACCTAAACTTATAAAGTATATTATGTAAGATATAATTAACATAATATTTCAACCCTAGACTACCTTAGACATAGCTTCCTCATAGGAGTACTTTATCTATCAAGCAATCTTTTTCGCAAATATTTCGAAGCACGTGTAAAACACTTTGCAGCTGCTAAGATTCTGACCCGCGGAGACGTAATCCAATGGTACAGGAGTCTTATTTAAAAGTCCCGAAAGCTAATTGAAATTGTAATATAATGTAAAATGCAAAGTAAATAAATAGTTATTGCTATTATTAGGTCAGGCTGCTTGGAATAAGTTCTTGATATATATTTTCTTGTTCTGGTGTGTAATGCGATTTGTTCCCCTAGTCAATTATACCTTAAACATGAAAGCAGTGATGACACATTGTATTCTTACGCTGTCACGATTCATAGAGATGTAAGTACCGAATATTATTCAAAACGTAAACCACTTTTCAAACCGTATGTACGTACAATGAATAACACGGTCGTGTCGACTTAACAGGAGCGTATCGCGACCGGTTTTCTACAAGATTTAAATTATCGTTACGTCACTATATGATCTCTTAACGTATCTCTTGGTCTATATATAACAAAAGTCCGGCTAATTGATAATATAATTTGATTGTTTATTAATGCAGTTTTCAAATACAGTATTTATCTGTTGAGTAATACTTATTTCAATAGTTAATGGTAGATCAGTGTTACTTATTTATTACATTGTAGGTACCAACTCGATCTTACGTAGTATTATATACATTTAGTCATTAAATTTAAATCTATTTTGGCCACATTTTACACATATATTATATTTATAGCACTAAACACTTATGTCAAAGACAAATAGTAAAAACAAATAGATACGTTTAACTTAAAAAAAAAATTTAATCATCTCAATAAAATTTTTATCAAATGAGATAAATGCAACGGAATATAAGATATTTAAATGGAATAACAAGTACTGGTTCCTAATAAATATTTTTTTATACAGAAAGAATCTTGATCTTGTGTTATTATAGCACACCTGCAATTGGTGTTGTGGGTGATCATGGGCGGCGGTAGTCACTTACCATCAAAAATGCTGTTTGCCCCCTGTATTGTAAAAAAAAAAAAAATCTGAATTTAAAATTTGTGTTTGGCGCGAAATCTCTTATGATTTTTTTTTTTTTTACTACTGTGGAGAATCAAGTATTTAGTGGAAAGCTTTGATTATTATATTAAATATAACATGAAAGGATCAACTGAAGAGAGATAAATTGCATTTATTTAAACGCATGAATAACATACGTTCTACATAGAGTTACTTATTAGGAGTTCAGTAAATCAAGTGCTATAGTTTTGCAATAGCTACAAACAAACGTAAATCTATTTATATAGATATAAGTTTTCTTTGTACATTACACTCTCGCTGATTTTTAAGAATATCCATTTATAATAATTTCATAAAACTAATATTTATTTTTTTTAAACAATATTTATTGGAGCCGATTTTAATTAATGTTAATTGAAATACAAATCCCATAAAACAATAGCATACAAGTGACCTCTACATACCGTCCCTGGTTTTAAAGTAACGCCCTTTCTGTGTTCCAATGCGAGTTTACTATATAATATGTCATCGGCTCGCCAACAAAAGAAGGCCATCTATATCGTCCAGTTGTATATTTCCGCGCCATTGTTCAATGTCCAAGGATGGGAGTGACAGTACAATACGATTACCTAATAGCTAGTTTATTTAGAAGATTGATAGAGGGTAAAACTAGGCGTCCATTGTTGTGCGGTGATTTAGTGGTAACGATATTGTTTAAACAGAAAAATTCTCTTTATTAAAAAATTCGATGGTGGTAAGGTAACTGTCAAGGGTATATAAATCAATCTTAGTCCGGTAGGTAACTCAGTCAGATGACACTTACCTGCGATCTGCAGAACCCGAGATCGAATCCTGTAGTCTTAGATTATATAGATATAGCATCAAGTATCAAAATGTTTCAATATTTAATTAGCTAATTTGACGTTTGGCTATTTATTTTAAATCAAAACAGTACCTACACGCTTTTTCAGTATTGTAAGTAATTGGATAATTTTTTTTATTATAAATTTGGAACTATTTTTTCTGATATAATATACATATGTATAAAATGCTTATAAATTAATATACAATTGTATTAATCAAAATGGCGACCGTTTTCAACAATTTAAAAAAGAAAACATATTTTATGTTCATACTCATCATAAATCAAAGTAAAGATAAACATCATTAAGAACCACTATGCATTGTTTATCTCATTCTTTCAAATTATACTAATTCATAATATATAACTCTAACTATAATAACTCTCTCACATACTTAGTATAAATTATATATGCTAGTAACCCGATTTACGCACACATGGATTAAGAAAAGTTCACCTGTTTTTGGGGAAACATTTGTATGGAGACGCTCTATCTATATAACCTAAGCTATAGCCTAAACAAATCGTTTAAAAATATTGTTTTTATTTATTACTTTATAAAAGCCATCGGTCTATAAACTAGAACAAGTAGTTAGAAGCTTTCTTGTATAACAAAGCGGCCTAGAAACGTAATACCAAAGGGCACCAATGAGAGATGATAGATGAGGATGAAAGCAGGCCAGTTGCCCCCTTATGACGTATTCAACGAGAATTAACCACGGTAGTTTCCAGAGTGAACCACGTAGAGACCGATTTGATGGGATAAACTGCTACCTATCCTACTGACAGACCTATTACTAACAAATCTATTTCTCCCTCTTTTCACGAGAAATAGTGATAGTGTAATCTGTTATATGGGGGGAAAGGGATTGTTAGTAATGGAGACTGAGAATCCCATTGCTAGCAATATACCCAACCAGGTCGACCCCCTCGCAGTTCCCCCTGGAAACTATCATGGTTAATTCCTGATGGATTCATCATGATGGGCTAACTGGCCTGCTTTCATTCTCATCGATCACCCTTCACTGGTGCCCCGCCAGCGAATCCCGTTAGCGCAGGCGGGATTACCATACCATTTTTACTCATAAAAAATCTGTTATTTTGATACTATCAATAGAAAAATGTATGAATGAATAAAAACTCTTTATTGTTTCCTTCAAAAGATGATACAGAGTAATGTAGTCTCTAAAATTTCTGGTAGATGCAACCGAGGATATTAATCTTGTGGAGGGGACAATAATCAGTATCTATCTATGACATCTTTTATTCTCATATTGTAGACGTCCATATTTACATAGATGTAACATTGGTATGTACAAACAAAATTGGCCATCTTAAACGAGTACTTTCACGTTTTAGAAGTCGATTGAAATTTTTAATTTAGAAATTAATTAGCCGTATCTCAGCATCCTCACATATGAACCTGGTTCACAATAAATGTCAATCGATCAGAGATTGATTAAATTCCAAGGTAGTTCCGAAAGGCTAAGGCCGTAATTCTATAAATGCGCTAATTACAGGTAATGAACTATATGATCATACCATATAGAAGCTGTTATTTTAGAAACATAAATACTTGGTGACAAAATTACAGTAATCGAAACAAAACA